TTGCTCTTTAACCTTTGGCCAGCAGCTACCTGATACCCTGTCCCGCTACCTTCCACACCTTACCTGACCTTACCTCACCTGGTCGTATCCCGCCCATCCCGTTGCCCTGCTTACAACCTCTCATCAACCTCCTCCGCCGCCTCGTCTCTTGTTTCTGCTCCACGCCAACCACCTCATTGTTGTGCCTGCTGCCGATCAACCTCTCGAGACAACATACATATAAGGATTAAAGGAAGGATTCCTTTTTGGCCAACAAGGTGGTTCAAGGCCTTTCAACATTTAACAGACACGCATCAACACCAAAAGCAAACATCATCAACATGGTTTCCCTCCGAAGAGCGTTCGCGGCCCTCCTCGCGACGACATCTCTCGTCAACGCCCTGCCCTCAACAGTCTCCGACTCCACCACCAACTCCGCAGAATCAAACTCAACAACAGCCTGCAACAACTCTCCCTCACTGTGCAGTCGCAAGTACAACAACATCACCCACATGGGCGCTCACGACAGCGCCTTCCTCCGCGACGCATCTACCTCGAACTCCATTGCAGGCAACCAGTACTACAATGCGACAGTCGCCCTCAACTCCGGCCTTCGCCTGCTGCAAGCTCAGGTACACACCATGAACAGCACCTCCGGCACGACCCTCGAGCTCTGCCACACCACCTGCTCCCTCCTCGACGCCGGCACTCTCGAGAAGTGGCTCTCCTCTATCAAGACTTGGATGGACGCCCACGAGAACGAAGTCGTCACCATCCTCCTCGTCAACTCGGACAACCAGGCCGCCTCCGTCTTCGGCAAGGTCTTTGAGTCCTCTGGCATCTCAACGTACGGCTACACGCCCTCCTCCTCCTCCGCCACCTCCAGCTGGCCTACCCTGCAGGAGATGATTTCGAACAACACCCGTCTCGTCACCTTCGTCGCCTCCATCACCGCCGACTCAACCTACCCCTACCTCCTCCCCGAGTTCGCCTACGTCTTCGAGACGCACTACGAAGTCACCTCCNACCTCCTCCCCGAGTTCGCCTACGTCTTCGAGACGCACTACGAAGTCACCTCCGCCTCGGGCTTCAACTGCACAATCGACCGCCCCTCAACCTACACCACCGCCTCTGCCGCCGTCTCCGCCAACATGCTGCCCCTCATGAACCACTTCCAGTACCAGATCCTCACCGGTGACATCCTCATCCCGGACGTCAGCGACATTGACACCACAAACTCTGCCAGCACCTCCACCCAGGGCAACCTCGGCCTGCACGCGCAGACCTGCACCTCCCAATGGGGCAAAAAGCCGACCTTCGTCCTGGTCGACTTCTTCAACAAGGGACCCGCCATCGACGCCGCCGACAACCTCAACGGCCTGTCGTCCAGCGACATCTCCGGTCGCAGCAGCAGCAATAGCGCCACCGCGAGCAGCGCTGGCCTCGCAGGCCGGGCGCCCGGCGGCATGGAGACGGGAGCGCTCGTCGCGTTCCTGGCTGCCGCGGTGTTCCTGTTCTAAGAGGAGCGAGAGCGATTGCGAGGGTCAATGCGCCAGCATGCGACGCACGTTTTTCATTCACACTGCGTCGGGACCGGAAAATCATGGGCTTTCATAGATTTCCTCACTCGGTCCTTTTGTTTCTCTCCTTTTGTCATTTGAAGCATAGCGATGGCGTTATATGGGCCGGAACACCGGCAGGAAATGGGATTTGTTTTTCTTTCTTGACGACATCTTGTTCAACGGCCTACTACACAGCAAAGCGTGAAACGTTCCGCTGGCGAGAAGGATACATACACATGCCCACAGTCAGGGCCACGACACATACCAATCACAGCAAAGGATTAGGATAGTTTTCAGGAATGCCCAGCATAGTACAATCATGTACTGGATGGGTCAACTTCAAAAAGAATCAAAATATTGAACAATAGTCAGGGATTGAAAACGGTGACCTGTGAATTTGCTAATATGTGGTGATGACAACGAAAGCCATGAGCTCATGTTGACCCCTCGTTGGACGGGTGAGCCCCGCAGTCCATTGCATCATTGGATAATGCCGCAGTAAGCTTTCGACCTCTGCCCTCACATATCACGGCGTCTTTTCCACGATCAACCTGATATCTTTGACAGCTCTCGCCAGCGCTGATCGTTTTGAAAAACCGAAGCAATCAATCTCCCTTCTCTCTCAGTTGCGCTCGGCATATCGTTCGACAGACTCATAGACACCAAGCGGCACCACCACACAGACGCACGCAAAAAGCACCACCGGCGACATGTCGACGACGGACTACTCCAACATCCCCACCCCGGCCGCCGCCTACGCCGACTTCTGCCTCATCCCCGTCGGCACCGGCAGCGTCTCCGTCGCGAACGAGGTCGCCCAGGTCCAGCGCCTGCTCAAGGCCAGCGGGCTCAAGTACACCATGCACTCGGCCGGCACGACCGTTGGTGAGTGCCGCCCCGGTTGAAGCCCTCGGAGATGGTGTCCTTCCCCTCTTTGGTTGTGTCGTGGCATGAGAGCGGTAGAACCTCAACTTTCGGGGATCACTAAGAGAAACGTGGTGTGAAATGCGATGGAGAAAGTGCAGAGCTGACAATCACCGCAGAGGGCAGCTGGGACGACGTCTTCCGCGTCATCGGCCAGGCGCACTCCCTTGTCCATCAGCAGGGCGTCGTGAGGATTCAGTCTTCGATGCGCGTCGGTTCAAGGTAATTGCGCCCCTCTTCATTCAACCCTCGAAGGACCCGGAGCTGACGACAAATTAGAACGGACAAGAAGCAGTCTGCCGAGGACAAGGTGAAGCGTGTGGAGGGTATCCTGGCTGAAGACAAATAGACCCAACAATCTTCTAATAGAGTTGATTCAAATGCATGTAAAATGATGCTTATTAAGTTATGATTGACAGATATGCTAGTTGCCTCCCCGTCGCTTTTCTCCATGGTAGTACAGTATACACCTTCATCCGCGTCCAGCCTAGATCGTGATATAGACACCGCCAGCCCCCTTTATCCCCCGTAACCCAGATACATCAGATCATGGTCTTCTTGTTCAGAACGTTACACAAAAAAAGCGAGAAACTTTTTTTCGACAGCTTGCAATACGAAGGACAAAAGATCGCTCAACCACGCATGGTCTGCTTCTTCTGGGCCTTCTTCTGCTCGCGCTCACGCTCCTTCTCGAGGTACTTCTTCTGAGCCTTGGCGTCCAGACCGCTGAGCTCGGCGTCGCGCTTAGCCTTCTTCTGCTTCTCGCGCTCAACGGCACGCTCCTCGGCCTTCTCGGCCTCGGCAGCCTTCTTGATCTGCGCAATGTTCTCGTCGCGGATGCTGCGGACCTTACGGAGGACCTCGGGACGGAAGTGGGCACCGGACACAAGGGCGTCGGGGATGCGGACAAAGTACTCGAAGAGAGGCACCAGAGAGTCGTAGTTGTTGTTGGAGGGGAGGCGGTAGCGCAGGAAGACGCGCTTGCGGGGAACGGTCTCCTCCAGGCTGCAGAATGTTAGCATCGAAACGCGGGAAATTGCAGCGCAGCAATGGACTCACGTGGTGGGCTTCTGGATGGGCTGATCAGAAACAATGAGATAGTCAAACGCGTCGCCGGCGGCCTCCACAGCCTTGACAAGCTCAGGAGTGAGGAGCTGCTCTGTGATCTCAGCGCTCTCGCTCATGACGGTGACCCAGTTGGGAAGCTTGTTGTGGTCCTTGGTGAAGGTGATGGAAACATCGTAGCGATCATCGCGAACCTGCTTCATGCGGTCCTTGGAGACAATGGCCCAGACGAAGTTGTCGTAGGTGCTCTTGTTGTCCTTGCTGCGCAATTCGTGGGTGCCGGGGACAGAGGGGACAGTGAGAGATTCCTTGCCGTCAAAGGGGTAGATGACAGCCTCGAGGGAGTCGTGGGGAGCCTCGACAGAGTCCATGAAGAAGCTGGAAACTGTCTCGACGATGCTCAGGGCCGGGTTGAATCGCTTGGTAAGGCTCAACTTGACATCCATAAAGGCGACATTCTGGCGTCCAGTGCCGTAGCTGGCGAACTCGAACAGGGACTTCTCGCGCAGAACGCCATCGGTGCTCTTGGGGTCGCTGTCGACAGTCGGGTTCGGGTCGAAGCCGACAGACGCGAATTCGCTCCTCAGAACCGGCGCGTGAGCAGTAGCCCAAGCCTTGGCCTTGCTACGGTTCAGACGCGAGCCGATGATGTGCAGAAGGAAAATGACGGCGCTGACGGCGAGAATGGCGCCCTCGAGCTTGAACTCGTCAAGCGAGTGGCGCTCGTGGATGTTGTACCATTTCGTGTAGGGACGGGCCGTAGCAGCGGGAGCACCACCAGCGAGGCTCGCGCCGCCGGGGGCAGCAGTGAAGGAGCTGGGCGTGGGCGACGGGTCAGGAGCGCCGGCAAAGTCTGCAAAATCTGTGCGTGGTTGGAGATTGCGTCAGTTTCAATTGAGGAGGTGGAAATGTGGGTGCGGAGGGGAAAGACGTGGGTGAAGCTTTGACGTCGAGATGCAGGCATCCGGCGAAGACGAGAGAAAAGGACGTACCAGAGTCACCGCTGGGGATTGGAGATGCAGAGGGCTTGGAACCTCCGAAGAGACCGTTGAGCATGTTGGCCATGGTTGCGGTCGGGGGTGGATGGCTGGCTGGCTGCGATGGGTTGTCAAAGGACGCAAGACTTGCAGACAGTGAAGCTGCGAGCTTGTGAGGAGGCAGGTGCAGATGCGCAACGTCGCCAACGAGATGGCGAAATTAGCTAGTCGTCAGCCAGTCAAGTGGCTTCTTCTGGAAGCTGGGGCAGATGAACTGAGCTCCACACCCGTCCGAATGCGGTCGAGCCCAGCTTGGCGGGTCCTAGTGGGTCTTCAGCGGCCGCGGAGTAACGTCCCTTCCGTTGAAGCTCACGTTGTCTGGTCAACCGCATGGATTGTCAATAGATGCCAACGACGGCCATTGCGGTGTCGTACGACGAGAGATGCAATACTTCCAAAGTTGACGCAGATTCAACAACACGCAACATCAAAAATGGCACGCACGATAGCGAGCCGTACGTACGGCAAGACGTCGACCAAGTCGAAGGCGCGGCGCCTGTTCGGCGAGCTGCCGCAGAGTCCAGTTCGAAAGCCGCAGACGACGGTAGCAGTGGCAGTGGACTCGGATGACGATGACTCGATCATCAGGATCTCCGAGAAGCTTGACGCGGTCGCGCTTGGAGCTGAGTATGACTCTTCGGAAGATGAGTTGTCGCGAGACTTTGGCTCCATCGTGGTGGAATCACCACCAAAGCCAAAGAAGCCCGTCTTGCCGAGGAGACAGGTGCTATCCCCAAAGAAGCAAGTCCAGGAATCACCAGGACCAGTCAAGCCCGCAACACCAAAGTCCAAGTCCTCCAAGGTTACAAAGGCTGAAAAGCCAGCGTCACCAGAGCTCCAGGAAGAGCCCAAGCCCGACTACCGCATCCTCACATGGGACGAAGTCTGCCCACCAGGAGACACGATTGAGAAGATTGCCGAGGCCTCTTACGCCGAGGTCTACCGCGTCAGGAATGAGCGCGGCACCAGCATCATCAAGTGCATCCGTCTCGAGTCGCCCATCAAGCCGCAGACCAAGGCACAGGAGCGCTCTGGTCTTGTCGACGAGGAGCCGCATTCCGAGGACGACATGCGCGGCGAGCTACAAATATCTGAGTGGCTTGCCGACATCCCGGGCTTCGTCGTGTACAAGGAGCGCTACATTGTGCAGGGCAAGGCGCCAAAGTGTCTGCTGGAGACGCATCAGGCCTTTCATCGAAAGATGAAGCGGAAGGACCCGGACAGGCTGCAGTTCTACCCGAGTCCGAGCCGGTATCTTGCCGACACGAAGTTTCTTGTCGTGGAGTTAGGCGATGCAGGCACGGCGCTGGAGGACTTTGAGCTGGTCAACCAAAGTCAGCTGTGGGACATCTTCTTCCTCGTTGCCATTGCCTTGGCGAGGGCAGAAGAATTCAACTGTTTTGAGGTACGCTCGCAGAACTCCTTCCTTCTCTCCGTAGACTGACAGAACCAGCATCGCGATCTTCACGAGGGCAATCTCTGCATCCGGCGGACAGACGAGCCTCAAGCCCGTGGTAACAGCAAGACAGCGCCTCATTTTGGATATTCGGGGCTTGACATCACTATTCTCGACTACGGTCTATCCAGGGCCGAGGACCTGGACATCGACGACGAGCCCATCGCGCTGGACCTCGAGAAGGAACTCGGCATCTTCACCAGCACCCACGCACCGCAGTGCAAGGTCTACCGCCAGATGCGGTCCTTCCTGATCAAGGGCGAGCGCGGCTGTCTCCCACCAACAGCGCACAACTCGCCATACCCCAAGGCAGCGGACGGGCAGCCCCTGTCCTGGGATGTCTACGTGCCGTACACGAACGTGCTGTGGTTGGCGTATCTCTACCAGTACATGATCAAGGGCTTCAAGGGCGAGAAGAAGGATGCGGCAGACTTCAAGAAGGCCACCAAGGAGCTCTGGAAGTACCTGGATCCCGAGGCCAAGGCCGGCACCCCGTCCTTTGGGTGCGCCGCGGAGGTTGTCAGGTTTGCTGTCGAGGCCGGGTGGATAGGAGAGGAGCAGCTGTCGGGAGACACGGAGGAGAGAGAGGAGAGCATCATCCTGTCTCGGGAAGAGGTGGAAGACCTCAAAAGGTCTCCGAGGAAGAGGGTGCGGTGAGCAATGTGTTTGAATTTTGGGTGCATATCATTTCGTTACAGGAGCATTGGGTCGGGAGGCTGCATCAGTTGGAGCATTGGATTTGGGTATCTAGCGAAGCGGCGGCTTAGAGAGGACATGCATAGATCGTCCGATATACCCGTAGGCGTTTGCAAATACAGTTGCATGTTGTTTATCAGTAGGATACTTCTTTCCCGCAAACTAGTAACTGATCATGGGTCAGTTAGGGATCAATTACAGCATTACTAAACGTTGACACCAAGACCGAGACACAGGAGCCGCCTGCGTAGTCACACCATCCGGGTCTCTCTGAGGTCATCAGGGTCCAGGATGACGACGACGCGACGACCCAGGGTCTGAGAAAGCCAAGCCTTTATTGCGTTCGATGGGGTTACGTCCACTCCCATCGACTCCGCGACGTTGGGCTTACCCCGTACAGAGAAAGCGTTCTTCCGTCTTCTTCTGCCCAAATGTCACGATGATCGGTGGTCGTGTCTGTGTCAAAAGAGCGCAGTGTAACACAACGCACCTTCATTAGCGAGGTAACCAGCGAAGCGCGCGATTGCGATTGCGATGCCGTCGGCGCTTTCTACGTGATCCAAGTGCCAATGCGCAATGTCTTGGTTCTTATTTGTCTTTGGGATACAAGAAGAAATCGCATCATTTGGAGGTCGCGTGACGAGACGGACACCGCGATGCCGTTTCTCTCGCTTTTACGGATCGTCGGGGGAAAAGCCACAAAACCGATTGACAGCGACTCCCCTGCTCGTAAAGCTTTTTAGATTAAGAGGAGAAGAAAAGATGGGCTAGATCATGATGTGGATGTCGTGCTCGCAATTGAGGTGTGGGGGCGGCGCCAATTCCAGTGATGCGACCACGGCGGCGCGTTGCGTCTTGGACGCTTGGGTGTTTCTTTCTTTTCTGCTCTACCTAATTGTTTTCCTTTCTTGCCCAGTCCCTGCCTCGACCCCACGATTCGTCATTGCAGGGGCTACGTAGAGTGATCGCCGCAGTTTGTGAGTCAAAACTCAACGACATTTTGGCAAGATCAGAGACATGCGGGCGGGTACATCGAAAAAAAACTTACGGTGAAAAATATAGGCGGTAATACCGCCGTACGACCCGAGGTTTTGAATCACACGCTCGGCGCCGAGGATCTCCGTTACGCAACGGGTGTCTTTCTCTCATGACAATCACCCAGAGAGAGGCCAACCGATATCGCTCGCCGGTCATCGCAGAGCGAGACCGGAAGGAGAGTGTGCTCGGAACTATTGCTGGGGGATCTAGGACTCGTGTTCACCTTACCTCAAGGGGACCGACCGCACCCGCTGCGTGGTCCAGGCCCGCAGGCGTATGCGGTATGCCACATGGGAAAGGCGCCGAGCGGACGTGGCCCAACGGCGACGACGACGTCGTCGTCTTTGTGGTCCCCGGGGAGCAGGCAAGAGGGTTGCCGTACGCAGATTGCAGGCCGCAGTCAACGACTTGGGCGGGGAGGGTTGCGGGATAACGAAGCCCGAAGTATGTTTGTTGGTGGCTGACGCCAACATGCAGCATCACTGGGAACAATTTCAAAAATCGGCGAAAAGAGCCATCATACCGAGCATGGGCTTTCTCCTCTAGCTCTTTGCCAAAAGTCGTTGTCAAACAAAGACCTTTGGCAATCAGGGTCCCCACGATCCCACGATATGGATGGACCCCGGACGGGTTGAAAGAGGCATAGCGGCTTGAGGATCGTCTGCTTGCTGCTGCTGCTGCTGGTTGCCCACTCCCACCTCGCAACCACCCATGCTCTTGACAGGGGGGCAAGACGCGGACGTCTTTGCAGTTGCGGTTCGTCCGCGTTCCCGTGTCTGACTCCATAGATAAGAAGAACAAGCAGGAGAGGCCGATGGGCGTATTTCTCGTGCGCGAACCAGAGATCGTGGCCGTCCCGCGTTCATGCCGAGGCCATCCCGAGCCATTCTTCGGCCCTTGTACCTGCAGACGGTTAAGAAGGGCGCAGGTCGTGGTTTGAAGCTTCTTCTAAGACGGGATAGGTTGGCAGGGCCGGGGACCAGGGAGAGAGGCAGTTTCCGGGTCGCCCATTTTGTCTCGTTGCATCGCAGGTGGGATATCCGACTTCCGTGAGGTGTGGCGCCGTTGGTTGGTGGTCGTCTCTTCCCCTCCGCCTCGAGCGGACTCTTGCTGCTGCATGTCCGCACACCTCTTCGCCAGTCCTAATTTACGTTATGGACGAATTGGCTTCCAGGGGACGGCAGCAGAGAAAGGTGGTTGTGAAACAAGGGGACGCAGGTTAGAAGCTCTCAGAGGTCCCGGATGCCGTTATCTCGCATGAGAATTCTACGATCAAAGACGGCGTTCAAAGAGCCTGGGTGCATGTTCGTCGAGGGGTATCCACACCACAACCGCATGGGCTGGTCCCGAAAGTATCCGACCCAGCTCTCCATCTCTTGGGTCGCTTCCAATAAAGAGGCGTGGGATGATAGTTGAAGGCAATTGGGTCGCCAGCGGGAGATTGAGATCCAACACGTTGGTGAGCCAGAGGCTGTATTGCGCTTGTCGTGTCTTGTTGGTGAAAATTTTCATTGTTCTGGGGCTGTAAGCGAGTACGCAAACATGTCGTCAGTTGCTGGCCCGTACAACAACCAATGGCGAGCTTTCTATGGTCCGTGAGCAGATTCAAGGCCAGAATTGGTCTAATGTCTTGACCGAGGCGCTCGGCCGACTTCGTACGTGGTGAGCTCTCAAGGTGACGCGCGAGGTGAATGAGGATCGTGGAGTTACTCCTCGGCTCACCTTGATGGTGGCGCTTGCAAACCCGCCTCGCATGGATTGGGGCACTATCGGGACCGAGACACGGGATGGCCTTTCTTTTGCGAGGGGCGCAGGTGTGCTGAAGACGTGGGATGCCAGCTGGGAGAGGGAGAATGGCGCGCATATCGCAAAGGCTGCCGCCATGAGCCGAAATGGCATACCGGGACGGCAAGTCGATTGCGAGCGTGGTGTGCAGTTGTCAATCTCGCTGCCTCGGACGGCAAAATGTGGATTCTACCGCGTCCAGATTCCCTCTCGAGACTCGGATGCATCGACGTAACCCTCCCTTGCCAGGCTGGCGGGAGACGGAGGCCCAGACGGCATCCTTTCTCTTGATCGCGTCGTCAATCAACTCTGATAACTCTGATAACATAGAGTGCAGGCCGAGGAGGGATGGACCCCCACGCGGAGTTGCGGGTTGCGGTTTAATTGAGCGCATATGCCCGGCCTTGCGTAGTGTAGAGACGGCAGACGGGGTGGGTTGAGTTCCTATCCATGCGACTTGTCAACCGCCGACTTGTCTGGCCCAGCGCGCGCCTACGCGGGGTTGCGAGCGTCAGGCAGAGACAAGACGACACGCAACCGTCCCTCGACTTAATTGCAACCCCCTCTCGCCTACGAGCAGGAGCTGCACGTATCGAGCCAGTCGCGGGAATGCGAGAGTCTCAGTGGTGGTGTGTCGACGCAGCTGGCTTGAATCGCTTGTCGCGAGATATGCGATCATGTCTGGGAGGGGAAAGTGGCAGCGGTAGGGACCTTTCGTTGATTGCACGACAGCAGCCGGTTGCATAGAGCTTGCCAACTCAATGGGGTAGTTGAGCACGTCGATAGCACACAGCGATATGGCGACATCCAGTTGGCAGGTTGTATATGGTAGAGACGAAGGATCCCGGGCGGTTGAAGGACGCGGCGCCAGACGACATGTCTTTGCTGGATTCGGCCGAGCCCAAGCACCGTCCACGTTGCGCCGGTGAAGCCATCAGCGCAGCCCAGCGGCCCAGGCTTGCGCTTGTGAGTCGTGTAGCGTCGTATCTAGTCGTCGTCTTTGGTTGAGGCGGGGGATGATAGATGGTGGTCCAGAAGGATGTGAGGGGACACTCAGATGCCATTGGGTACCCTGGGGAACATGGATAGAACGGCAGTTGCGATCGAGAAGACGACCCCGCATCGAAAGGGGGTGAGACAGCGATGAGCACCACCAGCTGGAGAGAGCAATTGATCAACGCGACACAATGATCCCCCCGTCCGTTACGATGGCTTCGCATCTGACGGTGTGAATAATTGAACGGTCTGCTGGTGTGACGACCGACACGATACTGGGGGTGCGGCCCTCCAATGGGTACTGCGGTAGGTAGGGTCTTGGCCTGGGGCCGGCGGTGCGCTGGGTCTGGGCCGGGGGATCGCCATCTAGCGGATTGGCCGGGTGGGAAGCGGTGCTGCTTAGTCAATTGTGCTTTCACTGTGCATGAGCACGTTTCTTGTTGTTGCCCGTCGTCACGAAGCCATGTACGTGATGTTGCCATGTACTCTCACGAAAAATAATGTATCATAGGCCGTTACAACTGATGTGGGCTGGTGGTAACCTGTACTGTTGCAGAGCCATATTCAAGACATATTAGACGGCGGATTCAACATTCACCTCAGCCAATGTAGTCTCGACGTCTCCAACGGCGATGGACACGTCCCAAACATGTTGATAATCGGATCTCCATCTGCTAGGTAGGGGTTTTTCTTCTTCACGCATGCAGACGGGAGGTAGTGAAAGAGGCAATGGGATGAGAAAACCGAAAACTTACGACGATCAGAACAGCATCCAAACCCCAACGAAAGCAATACCCCATGCCCATGCGCTGGTTTCCGTGGTTCCTAGCCAAAGAATTTCTGGACCTTGTAGCTTTTTGCAATACAACTTGCAGCGTGCAGCTCCGGGTTACAGCAGAGGAGAGAAAATTTTCCGTCGGCTCCCTCGCCGGACGAGCCTGCGCCTGGGATCGCCCCGCTGTACGAACCACAGGAAGGGAACAAAGGGAAACGAAACGCGCATCAATGCTGTGGGTGTTACTGTAACTGCCCGAGAAGGAGACCAAGAAGAAAAAGTGAGTTGGGTGATGGGGCGCACGCAGTTGCCTCTGGCCATACACGATGCAAACACGTGTGTTGCGACGGAAGGCATCGTCCATGTC